AGAAAAAGGAGGGAGTAATGGGGGGGGGGTTAAAACCTTGGTCCTTAAGAGATAGCAAAGGAAAAACCAGAAAGGCATTGCAAGGAGAGAGAAACCCCTCAGGAAATGCAAGAGAAAGCAAAGGCAGAGGAGTAGGAAATGCAGACTGAGAGTCCCAGGTGTGAGCACTAAAGGGACTGGTATAGCCCCAATTGGAGCTGGAGGCATTTTCCAGAAAGATTAAAGTCTGTTGTTGGGAACCAAAAGAATATCGCATACAGAGAGCATGAGGGGTGATGTTCAGGATGGTCCATGTGAGAGCTGCCAGGTCACAGTACTGAACAGGAGCTCAGAAAGAAAACTGTTCCTGCTTCATGGACAGGCAGTGCTACGGAGCCTTGAAATAACCCAACCCAGATCCTCAAAGACACCCAACAAAATAGGGAGGCACATTTTCAACAACTGAAGAGGTAGTGAAGGTGGCAGTGGGGCTGGGCTGAGCATCCACACAAATTCAAATGGAGTCAGCCTTTGAGCACAGAGGGGAGGGCAGGGGACATCTGTAGAGTGGCCAGCACTGAGAGGAGGAGGCGATTAACCTCCGCTTCACAGGTGAACAAAGAGATGGAGTATACAGTGACGATGCATTATTTATCCCAGTCCAAGGTCACACGGTGAAGGAGTGTGAAGCTGAGAGTCAAGCCTTCCCATCCCCAAGCCTGACCACTGACATCATGCTGGGCATTGTTTCATTTTTTTTTTTTGAAATCTCACCTAGGACCAAATTCTTTATATACTTTCTCTGAGCTATAATAGGATCCAGCCATGTGCTTAAGTGTCAGCATGTCAGCACTTCACAAACCTGCCACTTCCACAGGACCCTAACACCTAGAGCTAAAATTGTACAGCAGCTCAGAGCCCAGGCATCTCTTTCCTTTCCTGATGATTTCATGGGGGTGGGAGTGAGGCAGGGAGCCCTGAGTGGGCAAAGTCCAGAATAGGAAATATATCCTTAACTGGCACATAGACTTGTATTCATATTTTTCTTTCCTTATATTAATAGCATTATTTAAAAAATATAGACCGGGGACTGCAGATGTAGCTCAATGGTAGAGCTTGTGCTCAGCATGTTTAAGGTCCTGGGTTCGATCCCTTGACCCATACAAGCACACAGACACAGACACACACTTACACACACACACACACACACACACACACACACACACATCCCAGAAGAGGAAACAGTGCATAGAATTTCCTTCTGTTATTTAGAACTTTCTGTCTCCCTTAAAACATTTTATTAGGCCATCCATTTTAGATTCTTGGAAAATGGAATCATTTTTAATAAAAATATCAGTCAGGTAGGGAAGGTCACTCATTCATTGTGATTGTATTGTGTGTCAGGTGCTTTAATTTCTATTATTTCACTTATTTCTGGTAGGGAGTATTATTATGTTTACTTTGTAAGTGCGAAAACAGAGGGGTGAAGATGTTATAAAAATTGTAGGTTTTAGACCTGGGATTTAGATTCAAGGACTCTTGAATTTGGATGAAGCAGCATAAATTTTGATTAGGTTTTGAGAATGAAGTTGGGGAACTAAAAGATAAAACTTTTAAGGACTTCAACTAGTATCTGTAACATAAGCTTTAAATAAATGCAAACTTTTGTTACTGGCATTATTATTATTGAAAGACCATCTATGAAACCATCTATTGAACCCAGGGGTGCTCTATCACTGAGCTACATTCCCAGCCCTTTTTATTTGTTTTTGGTACTGGGGATTTAACTCAGGTGCACTCAACCACTGAGCCACATCCCAAGCCCTATTTTGTATTTTTATTTAGAGACAGGATCTCCCTGAGTTGCTTAGCACCTCGCTTTTTCTGAGGTTGGCTTTGAACTCACGATACTCCCTCCTCAGCCCAGCTCTATTTTTTTTTTTAAATTTTGAGACAGGGTTTCACTAAGTTGCTGAGACTGGAGGCTGGAGGACCTTGTGATCCTTCTGCCTCAGCTTCCCCGAATGACTGAGGTTGTAGGTGTGTACCGTTATGCCTGGCTAACACTGCCTTTTAAAGAGAATATCTGGTGCATTAATTTCTCAGCCACATATTGCAGATCAACAATATCTGGAGATACAATGGTGGTTATTATTCAGATGGCAACTGGCATGTTGCCTAATTCACAAGTGATTTGGGCTTCCATTTTGTCCTTTCCAATGAGTCTCCATTCATAGGGGAAAGGAGCTGTCATAGGGTTTTCCAGAAGGCTACTAACTTGTCCTTTTACAGTCAACAGCTGGAAGGAAAGATAGAGGAATTGGGCAAGTGCAGAGTGCTGAGGTGGTTTTAAAAAGGCAAGCTCAGGCCTTTCTTCTGATTAGCAGAATATGGTCATGGGTCAGAGATAAGAGACAGACAGGAGGAGGCAGTTGAGGAAGGCTGGCCTGGAACTCTGCCTGCTGAATGTCTCTGAAGCTGAAGATGAGGATCTGAGTGAGCTTATTACCCAAGGCTAGTCTAATTAAGGTAAGATCAGAGGAATGGCTAATAGGTAAGAACTGTGGGATTTAATTCAAATCTATCTAAATTTCCCCCTTAAGACTTGCACCATGTGTAATAGCTTGAAATCCATTTTTTTCAGGTATATAATTAGAGTTACATATTGGTCATAGTGCCCCACATCATTTCCCCCATCTGGGCCTTTGCTCATGCTGTGGTCTTCTCTGCCTGCTTCTCAGGGCTCACATCAGCATCATGTTCCCAAGGAACCTTTCTAGAATTGCCTGGCTCTCTTCCTCTCTGCCCACTCTGGGCTAAGTACCCCTTGTCTGAGCTCAAGGAGAGCCTTGGATATACTTGTCTACCCATATCATTCTCCTGTTGCTTTGAATTGATTTCTGTTGCTGCACCAAAAATATCTGGTGTGTGCCTGACTCTCCTTTTAGACAGGAGTTCCTGGGCCTTATGTCATCCATCAACCTAGTGACTGGCATGCAGAAAGCATTCAAGGAAGAATCAAATTGAAATGCCTCTTACACAGAATGAACCCATGTCTCAGTTAACCATGCAGATTGTAGTCAAAATGACATGATTAAAAACAACCTGCCTTCACTTAAAAACAAAACAAAACACATTTTTAGTAGTAGATGGACTCAATAGCTGTATTTATTTATTTATTTATTTTTATGTAGTGCTGACGATCGAACCCAGTGCCTCGCTTATGCTAGGCAAGTGCTCTACCACTGAACCCCAGCCCCAGCCCCTTCACTTGTTTTTTAATTTGTTTTTGTGTGACTTTTTAAGTACTCTCTAATGGGTGACTCCTGTTATGAGTAATGAAAAGGAAAATATTTTGAAAGATGAACTGAAGAATCCAAGAGCTAAAAGAGAGGACACACTGGCTACAGATGACAAGGATGAAAGCTTTAGGTGACAGTTTTATATTTGGCAGAAGGAGGACTTCCTTCTAACATGGTCTAACCTTGCCTTTCTTCATTTCCTGTACTTTTAGGTCAACAGCTAGACCTGGAGGTAGAATGCGGCTTCCGCAGCAGTGGGCTGCCTCTTGCTAGCCTTCCTTTCAGTTCTAAACTGGGATCTGTGCCTGTTGTAGGATCTGAACTTCCCTGGCACATGGATGAAACAGTGCGATCCAAATGGTAGCAGAATTTCCATATTTATGCAGAACAACATCTGTAGAGTTTTGTCTCCAGTACAGCCCAGTAACAGTCACCCTTGGTATTTAAAGAATGAAGTGAAGCAACCGCAGAAAGAGATAAAATGGCAAGAACTCTCTGTTCAGAAAATCTGTAGCTGTTCAAATATGAATAGGCTTCATAACTAGAAGAGGGCAGTGGTGAGATAGGAGGTGGGGATGGGGACAGAGATATGAGCATTTATCTACCAGAGCTGGCATCTAATCTGTCCTATGTCAACTTTGGAAGAGAGGGAACATAAACTATTTAGAGTTAGTTAGATGTGGGCTTCTGGCTCTGGCTTGTGCAAAAAAAAAAAAAATGATGTAGACACAAAGTTATTCATTGCACTATTGTTTACAGTAGAAAAAGGTGGGAAAGGATTCAATGTCTAGCAATAGAAGACTAATAAAGTTATGGTATACATTCAGTGGAGCCCCGTAATGGAACACCTGAAAGGGAAAGAATGATGAGGCAGTTTATGTGGAGGTGTGGAAAGCTCTTGAGATATTATTTTTTAAGTGAAGAAAGCAAGGCATGGAACAATATGTTCAGGATGAAGGGAAAATTAGAACTCCACTCTACTAACTAATAAACACATAAAGAAATGATAAAGATTTACAACAAAGAAGGAATGTTGGTGGTTACCTGTGTATGTGGGAAGATGAGGGAAATCTGTGTGTGAGCGCTCACGCACGCGCAGGCCTGGGTGCTATCTGGCATCGGGTTATCTCCCTTCCCCATGATAGTGTCAGGGTTCCCCTCCTGGGGCAGAATTGGCTCCGATTTCTCAAGAAACATTCCAGGAGCCACTTTCTCCTCTGCTTGCTTTGTCATGATTCTGAGTCCTCACTCCACAGCTGAACGTGTTCATTGACCTCAACAATTCAATGGTCTCTGGTGGGCGGGGCAGCCTCTGGAAACTTGGGTCGGCTTCGCCTCGCCTCTGGCTGTTTTCTCTCAAATCGGTTCTAGCAGTGTCAACCCCCGCCCAGCCTCCTGGGTACAGCCCTGGCTGCTGAGGCCTCTCTGCGAAAGGTCTGGGCGGTGTTTAGGTCCTCTCTCTCTCTCTCTCTCTGCAAACGAGGTCTCAGGGCTTCTGAAATCTTGTGAAGTGAGGGGGCAGACGTCTATTGCCAGGGAACCAAAACCTTGTGCCTGGTGGGAGACCTGGGAGGAGATCCAAAGGAGAGACTGGCGGGGCCAGCCAGCACACCCACCCCTCCCTTGGTCATTTCGGGGCCGTGGGGCGCTCCGACTTTAGGCTGGTGTTTGATCTCCTGCCGGCCTGTGCAGAGCCCGGGCAGAGCGTGTGGATGTTAGGAGAGAACAGAGTGTCCCTGGCTGAACAAAGCCAGCTGCAAACTTGCTCGGGCCCTTCCGTTTCCTCGGTGAGGGGACCTAGCGCGGCCCCTAGTGGCCGCTCCTAGAATGCTCCGGGCCGTCTTCACCGGGAACTTGTTCATCCACTAGGCCCCTGCGCCAGAGCCGAGAGCCGGAGTGGACAAGCCTGAATGAGTGACATTGTGCCCTGAAAGCCTTCACCAGGTAGAGTCATGCCCGGTCCTTCAGACAAGTGCAGGAGTCAGGTTGGCCCTGTACGCTATGCAGATTCGGGGCAAAATTCAGGACCGGGTCAGATTTCCCAGGGAGCCCAGCTTCTTAATCCTACAAGTACTTCCAGGACTTCTCTGTCTCCAGCTCTGTTTATCTTTCCAACTCAATTTTCAGGGAGTCCAGAGGCACTTAACTAATGCCGTAGTTTGTATCGTCAGTTGCTGCATACCTTGAACCTTCTTTTTGCACAACCCTGAGACCTAATATTTGTTGATTGAATGAGACCAAGTCAACTTGCCCAAGTTGAGAGTGGACTTGATGTCCTACCTGACCCATTGCCCTTCATGTACTTTCTAGGTTATTTAAAATCGCATCACATTTGACTTTTTTTCCCCCTCATTATAAAATTTTGGTATTGTAAAAAGCTGTGTTGGAAATACTGATCAAATCAATCTCTCTAATTTCATGGAAGATCAGAATGAATTCTCTGTCCCCTATTGGAAAAAAAGCACAAACACTAGAGCTGTAGTTAGTGTTTCAGGTGCCAACTTCTACATTTTTTTTCCTATCCCAAGGTGGATCTCTTTAGGGCAATTAAAAGGCCATAACATGGCATTTACTTTTTTTTTTCCTTCATATATTCCTTCAAATTTCTGTTTTCTATATTACAAGCTACCATCCACAGAGGGTCATAAATCCCCCAGAGAAGTCATATGTTACGCCACGTGATTAGCTTTGCATCTGTTTTGCAGCTGTTCGCTTTGCAGTTTTATTTTGCCTTTTGGAAACCCTAGAGCAGTGCTTCTCAAACGTTAATGTGCATACAAATCACTTGGGGGTCTTGTTAAAATGCAGATTTTTTGAGTCAGGAGGTCTGGGGAGGGCGGAGGTTCTACAGTTCTAAGGAGATGCCAGGTGGTGCCAATTCTGCTGCTCTGGACACCGCACTTAGAGCAGTGAGGTCATTTAATATAGGAACAAAAGGACTGTGAGAACACTTACCAGCTTCACTGAGAACCAGTCTGGCTGCAGCGGGTGTGGTGGGAGGAGTTTTCCTTGCAGATTCTGTCTGCTCTTGTGGAACCTCACCCCTTCACTTTCCCTTCTCTTGTAAATATCCTTTACCTCTGTCCTTCTGGATTGGAGAGAAACTGTAAGAGCAATGCCAAAAGCCATGTTGGTACAGTATCTGTGGGTAGCATCTTATGCTTCTTTTGGTCTTCTTGGGCTATAAGAAACAAAGCCGTACTTTAGCTAGCCGTGGCTGAAACCAGTCTGTGTGTGGGCAGCCAGAAGCAGATCCTTAGCCAATGATGGCTGTTCCTGAAATTTTATTTTACCAATGTGACGGAGAGGCAGCACACATCTGCAAGAGCTATCATCTGTTCCCTGTGCCTGTGAACCAGGACAGGGTTTTTCAACTGTGGCTCTGTTGACATTAGGGGCTGCATATTGTTTGCTATGAGAAAGACTGAGTGTCCTGTGCATGATAACATGTTTAGCAGTGTCCCTGGACTCAGCTTCTAGATGCTGATAGCTCCCCTGAGTTGTGACAATCAAAAATATCTCCAGATGTCAGTGTGAACGGTACAATTACCCCAGTTGAGAATCAGTGATGAAGGATAGGATAAATGTGTAATTTGTCAGTTCTACTGAATGTCTACCTTCCCTAACCTTATCTATCCATGCCTTTTCAAATTTCATCTTCTATTTTCTTAGTGGAATTTTTCTAAGTGGAATACCAACAAAACTTACCAAATAAGTGAAGGTAAGGCATATAGTTTTGTACTCCATGCCTATTCTAATTGATCAGTGCTGGCTATTTGAGACACTGGGTTGAAAATAATTCTGAGGATGTCCATGTGCAGCAGCAAAGAACACTGTCGGCCATGGAATTGTGTGTGGGGGGTGGGGGTGGGAGTGGGGGCGGGTTGTTTGAGGTACCATTATGTTTGTTAGGAGTTTTTCTTTTTTTAAACTGTGAATTGCCATTTCTCCTTTCACCCCAATATTCAATTTGCTCTCATTGGGGGCAGTAACCAGGGTCACATGGAAAGCATGTTGGCCTTACTTGAATCCCAGCTATGCCACTTACTAAATATGACCTTGAAGGAGTGGGTTTCTTTACTCACCTCTTATAGCTCTTCATTCCTAGCTCAAAATGTGGATGTGAAATATAAAGGAGATAAACAAATGAAAACATCTAAGCAGTACCTGGTTTATAGGGAGTATCAGTTTTTTATGTGTGTTTATATAACCTTTATTTATTCATCAGTAAATAAGTGACCTAAAATTTGGGGCAGGGAATAAGATCCTATACAGATTCGACGGATAGTTTCAGAGGATGATAGTATATTGAGGATGACAGTATATTCGAAGGAGAAAGGAAAGAGCTGGGAAGCTTGAACCAAACATCCCCTCAAAGCATAGATACACTTGAAAGCCTTCATTAGAGAAGCCCTAATGAGTTCTCAAAGTGTGCCCCTGAGGGCTGGGGATATAGCTCAGTTGGTAGAGTGTTTTCCTTGAACTCATAAGACCCTGGGTTCAATCCCCAGCACCTTCCAAAGGAAAAAACAAAACAAAAAACAGTGTGGTCTTGTACCAAAGGCCCTTGGGAGCTTATCAGAAAAGAAATTAAAAAGTCCAGACCTTAAACCTCACTTGAACTCTAGACAAGATATGCAGACCTTCACTCAGAGTTATTTTCTGTTAAGCTTGGTTTTACCAAAATATGTATTTCTTAATCTATAGCAAATAAGTGAAATGAGCTATTTGAAGTGTGACCAATAAAGGCAGGGATAAGGTGACAATTGAGACAGGATGGAAACGACCCAAATATGTGTGTGTGTGTGTGTGTGTTTTTTTTTTTTTTTTTTTGGTACTGGGGATTGAATCCAGGAACACTTTACCACTGAGCTACACCACTAGCCTTTTTATTTTTTATTTTGAGACAGAGTCTCACTAAATTGCCCAGGATGGTCTTGAACTTGCAATCTTCTCGCCTCAGCCTCCAAGTAGCTGAAACTATAGGCATGTTTCACCACCCCTAGCCCAACCCAAATATTGTCTGCATTTGCCCACCCCCCCCCATTTTGTACTGGGGATTGAACCCAGGGGCACTTAACTACTAAGTTATACCCCCAGCCCTTTTAATTTTAATTTTTATTTTGAGAGAGGGCCTCCCTAAGTTGCTGAGGCTGGCCTTGAACTTGTGATCCTCCTGCTTCAACCTCTTGAGTCACTGGCATTACAGGCTGGGTCCTTTTAATGAAAGGATAAACAACAACATAGCCCTTCAATGTCCCGTGATCATTACTGAACATTAAAAGCAGATACCTGTAATGTTGACTTAGAACCATCACGACAGAGTTAAACTTTTCTCTGTTTAAAATCATAAGATGGTATAGATTTCAGAAGGATTTTTAAGAATACAAAATAAACTGTAAACTAATAAAATTTGTGTACTTTAGGGAATTCATTTTACTTATTTGGGAATTTCACCTTGTCGCGTGCTTCCTTCCTCGAGAAACTGATCAATGAGGCATCACTTTGACTTGTTTGAGGTCAGGAACCACACTCCACCCTGTTCTTATTTGAGCACACATTAAGAATTTGGTGAATATACGCAGGTGGATTGAGCTTCTCTGAAGGAACTGGGGGAAAATGGGGGAAACTCAATTGTTTTGTGATCATCATGCTGTTCACAACCTGGCCAATTATAGCTTCTATCTTCAAAGCCAAACATTCCCTGCTGATTTTCTGTATCGTTTATTCATTTTTTCCCCCTTTGGAGAAAATGAAATCTATGCCTTGGAGGGTAACCTTGCTGAGAACATTTGTTCCTTTGTTGTCTCTCCACAGGGCTGAACTCACCTGCTATCTCCCTCCAGGAACCAATCCTAATTACAGATCTTCAAGAGTTAAATGAATTTCATCCCTTGTTACCTGCTATAAAAGTCATAGCTTTAAAATTATGACAACCCCTTAAGGGTTGGCTTTTTATGGTCACTCATTAGGAAAGAAAGCTCTTGAATTCCCAGAGCTTGGTTCCTGGACTAGCAGTATCTGTATCACCTGGGAGTTTGTCAGAGATGCAATTTCTCAGGTACCACGGAGATCTATGGAATTAAAAGCACGAGGGATGGAGCCCAGGCATCTTGATTGACAACACTCCAGGTAATTCTGATGCCTGGTCAGGTTTGAGATCAGCTGCTCTACAGTTCCAACCCAACTATTTCACCTCTTACTGCACCCTGGGAGGAGGACAAGTTGTTCTCAGTTCAGAATATTTAGAATATAAACTGAGGAAAGTAACTAAGCTCACTAGAAATAGTCTCTAAACCTGGGTTAAATTCTGGCTCTGCCACTTATTACCTTTATGCCTTTGAACACAATATTAATATGCACTAAATATTGTGAACCATTTTGTGACTCAGTGTCTTTAATGCTTTTCTTGAAAGGCTATCCTGAAAATGGAATGAGCTATTGTGCAAAAAATTACCTGGTATAATACTTGATGCATGAAAGGCTATGTGTTGAGTCTCTTTATGATGTTGAGGCACCATAAAAACAACATTTAGTGCTCAGAACCAAATACATCTATATAGTAATGTTACCATTACACTTAGGCGTACAATGGGTTAAAAATGAACTGAACAGGCTTTTGTGTGCTGGCCTGGGAACTTCATTATCCATTTAGTTCTTCACTTAGTCATGCCTTTAAAAGGCACAATACAATTTTCCTATGGGGAAATATATTCCAAGTTCCCCACATGTAATTTACACATGACTTTTGTGACATGTTCTGTTTGTTCATTAGATATTTCTAGGCATATATTGTATTGTTAATGTAATCCAGATAGTCACCCTCAACAAGCCAGGGATTTGGAAACTCCACAAAATGAGCCTCTTTCCTTAAAACCAATAATACTCTTTGAAACTAAGCAAAACTGAGAGGAAAGCACAATTGCCACTTGTTTTTCAGTCTAATTAGAAAATGAAGAAGTCAGACATTAGGGAAACACTGGGCTGACTGAGCCATGGAAGAAAGTAGAAATCACAGTTTGGGAACCTGTTTGGCTGGAAAGCCACAGTCATTGTTGGCAGGATAAATCCCCACAGAGCATCCTGATACCTCAGTCACCACATCATATGGTAGCATTGTTAATACAGTTCAAGTGGAAGACCCCCAGGTACTGGTAAAGAAATTCACAAGTTGTGAGAAGAGACCTCACCTCTTGTTCAAGGTCTATGATAAGCTTTCTCCTCCTTAAAATTCAGTCTGTAAGCAGATGTGTTTCCAAGGAAACTGCTAATCAACTTGAGGCAGAGTGGTATAGTGGGTGGGGATGGTGCCTGTGACACAGAATACCTAAGTGACCCTGGCCTTCCTTGTCACATGTAATCTGAACGTGGACCAGTCATGCAAGCTTTTTCAGCTTATATTTGGGTATGGCGTATGTAGACAGAAACCTAGAAAGGCATCAAGTTGACCTTTTAAAAAAAAATTGTAAAGGCCTCTTTTGGATGAATGAGTAGGGAGCACATACAGATGGGATGGATGGGAGAGATCTTTCCAGCCAGCATTTAACCCAGGAGTTCTCTATTTCCTACCTATAGCTGGAGAAGGTGTTCACATATGCTGTTCACAGGTGGTTCTGTGGAGAGTATTTGTGTAGAGCTTTTCAGCAGGTAGTGTGAAAAAAATTAGCTAGAGCAATTGAAATACTGTCGAAGAACCTGAACTTGAAAAACTGTAACCACAAGGTCATACTGACGTGAGCATAGTTAACAGTAAAGTGATAGTTGCCCCGTCACTCATGACTGCCCTTGGGTCTTCTGGCAGGTTTGGTTTCTGAAGGAATAAAAGGAAGCAGTGTGTGGGGCCCTCTGAGTGAGTATGCACACCACACCAATGCACGCTGTCCCCCAGATGGGGCTGGAGTAACCCTTTGCACACTGAATTCAAAGTGAAAGGACCCACTGCCGCCTTCTTTCCGTTGAATCTCAGAACTTTGGTACCAGGGTTCTTACTTACAGGCAGGAGGTTGGCAGGCTCTTCTTTGTGAAATCCATCAGCCCCTGAGAAAAGACCTAAATATATTGACTTCAGGGTTTTACTAGAGCAGGCCATCTAGACATGCCTACAGTGAAGTTCAGCGTCAACAAGGCTTATCATATTTTGAGAGCTTCCAAGCAGAGTTTCTTTTCTATTGGTTATTATGAGTAGATTGTCAAGAAGTACTAGATATCTGAGAAAAGTCTCTAACATGATAGGTTGAGATAAAAATAGCAAATAAACAACGGCTTAGACAGCCTAGAGACAAACAGGGAAGAAAAAGTTACAAAAAGAAACTCAGAGGGAAATGAGAGGACATTGCTTCTATGCAAAAAAAAAAAAAAAAAAAAAAGATGCTATAAAAAGAAGTATTCAGAAGACAAAAATGTGCTTCTGGAAATTAAAAACATGATACTGGGGGCTGGGGATATAGCTCAGTTGGTAGAGTGCTTGCATGCACAAGAGCCTGAGTTCAATCCCTAGCACCACACACACACACACACACACACACACACACACACACACACAACTGTTTTTATATTAACAAATGATATTAAAAACTCAGTAGAAGAAAAGAAAGCCATCTAGAAAGTAGAATAAAAAATATAGAAAAGGAAACTAGGATAAAAATATAAGAAAGCAAAAGGATAAGTTACTGGAGACTCAACATCTGAATAATCTCAATTTCCAGAATAAGAGAACAGACAAAACGGGAAATCATTAAAGAAACAATTTAAGAAAATTTTTCTGAATGGAAGAAGTACATGAGTTGCCAGATTTGAAGAGTCTGTTGAATGAATATTAAAATGGAAAATTGGGGCTAGGCATGGTGGCACACATGTGTAATCCCAGCAGCTCAGGAGGCTGAGGAGGATTGTGAGTGCAAAGCCAGCCTTAGCAAGACCCTGTCTCTAAATAAAATACAAAACGGGGATGAAGATGTGGCTCAGTGTTTAAGTACCCTGGGTTCAATTCCCAGTACCAAAAAAAAAAAAAAAAAAAAAAAAAAAAAAAAAAGAAAAGATAGACTTATAACAAGGTGCATATTATGAAATTTCAGAAAACTGGGAAGAAATATAATGTTACTATAAACTATATAATATTTATATATTTATAAATATAATATAAATAATGTTACTATAAACTACTATAAATATAGTAGTTTATTACTACTATATTAGGGGAGAAAAATGTCAAGAATATAGAGGGAAAAATGTCCTTGGGTTTTAAAATAGCAACACGGAAAGCAAGAAGATAATAGGGATTTTTAAATTCTGAAAGAAAATTATACTCATCCTAGAGTTCTACACCCAAACTATCCTTCTGGTTGAAAGTTGGCAAATTATAATTTCAGGCATGTAAAATTTCAAACAATGTCTCATGCAAACTTCCTTAAGAGTCTCATCAGTCAGTATGGACCCCACCAAACAAGAGAACAAACCATGAAAGAAGACCATGTGGGACAAAAGAATCAGGAAATTCAGTTAGGGAATGTGAGAAAGGGTCCGCCTGGAGGATGAGAAGATCCCAGAGTGGGAGCTTGCTTGTACAGTGGCCAGCCGTGCAGAGGGCCTACAGACAGGCTGAATGCTGTCATCAACCACTTCCTTGGGGACTGTTACTTTGGTTTTAACTTGAAGACAGTGTATCTGGGTTTCATATTATTTTCTTAATTTGGCTGGAATTGACCATCTTCCTTCTTTTCTACTCAGATCTGCTGAGGACATTCATGCTACCCCATGTCATTTTTGTGTTTTTGTTTACTTCTGAGGGCTACAGGGTGAGGGTGAAGGCCAATGTGGGATTAGAAGTATGAAGTACTGAGTGCATTGAGAATGTTAGGCATTGCTTGCTGAACAAACGATTTTCCTGCCTGATGCCCCAGTTGTAGCAAGCTCTCTGTTTTGGGGGACTCACTGACTTTTCTTGGCCCTACGAAGCTGAAACAAGACTGTGACCTGACAATGAGCTCCTGTTCAGCTTTTTTTCATCTAAAATTGGTGACATTGGGGTGGGGTATAGCTCAGTGATAGAGTGCCTGGCTAGCATGCAGAAGGCCCTGGGTTGAATCCCCAGCAGCAGCAGCACCACCACCACACACACACACACACACACACACACACACACACACACACACACACATGCTGGTTTTGCTTGTTCCACACATGACTAGGGTTGTGCTGGTTACTGAGTCTTTTTTTAATTTTAATTTTGTTGTTGTTGTTGTTGTGGCAATGGGGATTGAACTCAGGCCCTCAGGCATGCCAGGCAAGTGCTCTACCATTAAGCTGCACCCCTAGCCCTTTTATTTTTATTTTGAGACAGGGTCTCACTAAATTGGCCAGGCTGGCCTTGAACTTGGGATCCTCTTGACTCAACCTGTAGAGCAGCTGGGATTACAGGTGTGCACTAGCATGCCTTCTACAAAAGGAAACAACACATTGTTTAGGGTTATGTGAATTTGTGCTACATTTATTTATTTATTTATTTATTTATTTAAACCCAAGGGAGTGAGGGAGAGCAGGATGTAATTATAGAGGGGCACATAGTGGAATTTAAAGTGATTTGTGATGTCTTTCTTAACCTAGCGGGTGGGTACATTATTATCTATTATTTTTAAAGTATATGTATATGTTTTATAAACTCTCTTCTATGTATCATTTATATTATAATAAAATGTTTGAGATAGAAATGGACCTAAAATTGCCCAGTAGATGGGGATTCCTGGGGCAGATGTTTGAGTGATGTCAAGCCCCAGGTGGAAGACCTAAGGTAGAATTATTTTGATTCGGTTAGAGGAGGAACCTCCTCATTACTTAAGCATTAAATTCTCCTAGGAAGCTTTTTTTCTGACTTGCAGAGGCCTGTTCCTCAGTGTTGAGTCATGGGAAACATCAAGAAAGCCGTGGTTAGTTCTTTACCAACTGCCGGGCTGCTCTAATGTTCTCTGTCTTAATTCAGATATTACTGGGGAGAAAGCCCCTAATTATAGTCAGTTACTGACTCATAACCATACTTTGCTCATGGTTATTTCCTCTAAGAAAAAAAATATGTGGTATTTTTACCTAATGGGTGTGTGCGTGTGTGTTATTTATTATCTCACCAGAATGTCTTTATATGACCTCTAGCTGTAGGTTTGAGGCTTTCCTAGGAGCTCTTGAAGTTAGCTCCAGCTGTGTACATGGCTGTTAGATTGCTTTAGTAGACACACCCAGCATGTGGGTGTGGCCTTGAAATACCCAGCTCTTTGGGGTGTTATTTCACACTATGATTGGTAGTAACTGAGCAGAGTCTGGCAGCTGACCTCCTCCTTTGAACGAGTCAGGACTCCTTAGGTTACAAGTATCAGAAACCTAGTTCATGGATTTAAAGACAATGATTTACAAGCACACTTAACTGCATAGCGCTGAAGAAGATTCAGGTATAGCTGGATCCAGATGTCCCAATGAAATTATTGGAAGCTGTTTCTATCGGCTTTTCTTCTTTATTTGCCTCCTTTCAGGTGGGTTTTCCCCAACCGGGTGGCCTGGAGCAACTATAGACTTGAATTTTCCATGTTTTATAAACCCAGTCTAAAAAGAACTCTTTCTCAAGAATTCCAGCAAAACTTGAGGGCTTTTGTTGGTCCAGTCAGGGTTGGTGAACATCCCAGAAGCAATCGCATTAGCTAGGTTGACAGAGTAGTCTCAACAGCAGAACATACATGCCCACCTTGTTCCTGGGGAAGGATTGAGAAAACAAAGTAGCTTTCACTATAATAGCTGTTTGTTCATAAAAATGTTCTAGGGTTAATTCTGAATAATAAAGTATTGAATAGAAGCATGTTTGAAATGATATAGTGTAGGTCTAACTTATGAACTATCATTATCTTCTGACCAGCCATTTTTTGTGATTACTTAATGAAAACATGCTTTAAAAAGTACAGGTTTCTAACTCAAACAAATAAAGCATCTTTTTATTTTCATTTTTATTTTTTTGGTACCATGGATTGAACCCAGGGGCATTCAACTACTCAGCCATATATCCCCAGCCCTTTTTTTGAGTCAGGGTCTTGCTAAGTTGCTTAGGGTCTTGCTAAGTTGTTGAGGCTGGCCTTGAACTTGTGATCCTTCTGCCTCAGCTTCCTTAATTGCTGGGATTACAGGTGTGTGTGCCACCCTATCTGGTATATTTTAATAAAGCAATTAGACAGCAATAGAACTCTCATATTTCTGCTGCCATTTTTTTGTTTGTTCATTTGTCTGTTTTTGTTTTTGTGGGACTGTGGGTTGAACCCAGGGCCTCTACATGCTGGGTAAGTGCTCTATTACTGATCCACAGCCCTCCCTCATGTCTTTATATTCTATGGAAGAAAAACTCAACCCCAGTGGGCTACTGCTTCTGTTAGAGCATGGTTTAGTCTAAGTTGGGGCTCACAGTTCAGTTGCATTCAAAAGCTCATGGAAAGTTTTGGTTTTTAGAACAAGAACTTCACATTCAGTTTTCTTCCCAAAGGGATTTCTAACACAATACCTGGAAAAAGAACATGTTTTTAGGTCTTAGGAGTGTGTTCCAAAGCTTCCTTACTAGGTAGAGACTACCATTTCTGACTTCATATTTCCCAAATTTCCCTGACTCTATGGTAGATCTTATTCACTTTCATTGTACAGGCTACAGGGTGTATTTTGGAGATGTACTGCTTGGTGTTTAATCCTGGCCCTGCCCTTTGTTGACTCTGTGACTTTGTCAGAGAGTTAGTCACTCTGAGGCCCTCTGTGCTTGCATTTCCTCATCTGTGCAAACCTCCTTCATCACATAGCCTCCACAAACTGCTGAGGACAGTGCCTGGCACACAGTAAGCCCTTTATAAGTATTTGCTACCATTATTGTTATTTTAAAAGCTCTCAAAGCACATAACCACCGGCCTGTTTTACTTCTGCTTCAGATGGAAGCTTGCAGGGCAGAGGGCAGATGCCTGAAGCTAAGCAGCTTATTAAAAGTAGAATAGAAATAGATGAGAGGAAACCAAAGCACTTTTCTCTTTAGATAGTTATCAAACCACGCTTCGCTGCAGACTATGGGCTTGGGTATGGCCAGAGATCAAAGGCCCTCTTATGTGCAGTGACATTTCTGAGCACAGGGCTGAGTTATAAACCTCTTGAATGGAAGGTTTTGGCACTTGGAACACAGCTTGGGATGGAAGGGCAGGGTTTTTATAGAGGCGATTCACGGAACTGCTTATGCTGGGGAGAATCTAGACTGTTATGACTCATTCCTCTCTTTATTGCTCTGGACCAAGAACTGTTGTTTCCTTTTAAGTCCCTCTGTAGGAGCTGAGCCTCAGCCTAGGGCCAAGACAGCCTTTGCAGGAAGACAGTGTGGCTTCAGTGAGTGTGAACGGGAATACCCTTTGTTGGGCTCTGGGACAAGCGTACTGGACAAGCAGAATAAGGATTTTATTTTAGCAGGGAGTAGAATTTCTTTTGGAAACCAGAAGCATCCTTAAAGTCTTTGACTTCAGATAAGCTTTTCTTTTGTCTGTCTGCCATTTTTGTTCTCTGACAGCCCAAACTAAATTGGATTGTGTGTTAAGTAGAGGACAGACCAACTCTGCAAAGGGGTAGCGAGTGTGCCTGCGTGGCCGCATATGAACCCAGGGGTAGCAGAGGAGGTCATCTGGAGTCCAAGTGGCCTGAAATCTTCTGGGCCTCCTGGAAAAAACTGTGTTGAGAATTTTGGGACTGGTGGTGACACCTCGTATGATTGGCAGACTCCCCATGCTCCCTAATTCCTGGTACTTAGCCCTTCGTACATTCTCCTTCCTCTGTGTCTTACCAGCGTCTCAAGCATAGAGTGCAGCAAAAGAAATGAGATGTAGGGTTGTGGCTGTGGCTCAGTGGCAGAACACTTACCTAGCACGTGTGAGGTCCTGGGTTTGATCCTTAGCACCGTATACAAAAATAAGTAAAATAAAAGTATGCTGTCCATCTATACCTACAAAAAAAGAAAGAAAGAAAGAAATGAGATGTAACTTTCATGATTCGGTCACAAAAGACTGATTTCTACCTCTCTAGGAAGCTCCTTTCTTCTTTTTTAATTGGTGTATTGCAATTGTATATAATAGGAAAATTCTTTGTTGCATATGTGTACATGCATGCACATAGCATAGTTGGGTCAATTTCTTTCCCTAGTACTTCCCTGTCCCTCCTTGCCCCCCCCCCACAATCCCCTTCCTTTACTCTACTGGTCTCCCTTCTGTTTTCATGAGACTCCCCCATATACTTTTTTCCCTTTTTCTCTCTCTAGCTTCCACATGTAAGAAAAAACATGACCTTTGACTTTCTGAGTCTGGCTTATTTTGCTTCCTGTAATGCTTTCAAATTCCATCCATTTTCTAACAAACGACAAAATTTTGTTCTTCTTTATAGCTGGATAAAATTCCATTGTCGGAATCCCTCTCTCTCACTGCCACTGTCTCATCCCCTTTCTTGCCTTCTTGACCTGTGTGCTTGGATGAAGCTGGCTGCCATGTTGGAGAGATCAGAGTGTCACAGAGCCAAGGTGACTTCCTGTTCACCATACAACAAAGACCCGTTACTCTTAGCCCACCAGCTGGTGAGGAGCTGAGTCCTGTTAACAGCCAAGGTGAGTCTGGAACTGCAACCAGCCTGCCCCTGTTGGACTTTCAGTTGATTGGAGCCGTGGTTGTCATCTTGTTTTCTGCCCTGAGAGAAGTTCTGAAACAGAGGACTGAGTGTCTGAATGCCTGATCCCTCAAAAACATGGGACAAAAATACTGGATGCCATATTAGTGTGTTGTCCTTATCTGCTAAGTTTGAGGACGATTTTCACTGTAGCACTAGATAACTAAAATGCTAGGGCAATGAAATTTATAGTCTTGAAGACTGCTCAAAAACTCCAGGGTTTTGGATACTCCTAATGATTGTATTTATGCAGTATCAGAGCATTCAGAATCCAAGGTAGTGGTGATGGTTGGTCTCTGAGGGACACAGGCTATGTTGGTTTAGGTCTCTAATACAGGTCTGGCAAGAGCTTTTGAGAAGAATGCTAGAATTAAGGGATCCAGGATGTCTTTCGGAATCCTAATGGGGTGGAAGTCATTGGCTGGGAGAAAAATCTCTCTCTTTGGTAAACAGGAGCAGAAAGTATTAAGTGTGGGGAGAGAAAGAGAGAGAAGGAAGTTCACATCTTTATTAATTGGCAAATTTGGTTTTAGACTAGGGCTACCATATGCTCGGGAGATGAACTACAAAGAAGGATGAAAACAGCAGAGAGAGGTACTATGGAAACATCAAATGATGAAGGATTCCACCAAGCACCCAGAAGAAATGAGATACCAGTGCCAACAGAGCAGGAAAATCATACTTCAGTAGAACAAATAGAAATGTAAATGAATAATGCTCAATGTGAAAATTTGAAAAGACAGACGTGGACAAAGACAAAAGAAAAAAAACACATAATCCCATTATCCAGAGAGAACCATTGTTAATATTTTTAAAAGATTTCTCTTCTTCAATGCATATTTTATATATAGTTTATATTTTTATAGTATATGCAATTTCACTTTAATTAAAATTTAAATTATGAAATAATTCAAACACAGAAAATAAGTTGTCACCAAGTATAACAGTCTAGATTGTTTGGTACAGATCCCTCTTCATCCCATGCAATACCATCAGCTTAGACAACAAAGACATTTATTTTTTTCTATCACATAAAATCCATCTGTAGGTTGTCCATCCAGAGCTGGTTTGGCATTTCTGCCGTATCATCATTATGAACACAACTTTTAGTTCTTTGTTCTGCCATCTTGGGTTGTCTTTGTGTTTTCAAGATGGTTGTTGGAGCTCCAGAAATCAGATCCACATGGTACACCATGGGAATGACTTACTCTTTAAAAAGACTTAGAGGAAGTTTTAGACAACACTCTCTACCACATCTTATTGGCTCCAATTTAGTCATGTGTTCACATGTCATTGCAGAGTGATAGGAAATGAAATCTTTTATTCAAGATGATGATGTTCCCAGCTAAAAAAGATTCTTTGCCATGCTGTGGAATCATCAGCCAGATTTGACATACGAAATCACTTGGTTAATTTTGGTCTCTTTAAAACAATTTAAATTAAGAAATGAAAAATTAAAGATATAATAGATAGATTCCACTTTCACTGGCTGTAGGAAGTTGAAAAGTGCCATTTCCACTTAATAAGAAAATCCAGATAAACCATAGTCGTAACTTTTCTTGAAGTCATCAGAGCCTTGGGGATGGAGGGTAACTAAGAAGCCTGTAATCCAAGGAAAGATAGGCCTGCCAAGGAGAAAGGACACAGATATGGCTCCCCTTGTGTCAGTCACAGGAGGGAGAAACACTGGATACCATATTAGAAGGTAAAAGAAGTCAACTAAATTTATATATATGAAAACTTCATATATATATTATAAAATTTAGTTGACTATTCTATACACACTGTGCACCATCCAATAAAAATTACAATATGCACTATATATGTGTATGTGTGTGTGTGTGTGTGTGTGTGTGTGTGTGTGTGTGTGTGTGTGTATATATGATTCCTTTATTTTTATCTGGTGCTGAGCTACAACCTCAGCCCTCAACTAAATTTTTAATGAATTGGTAAAGGCTGAATAAGGGCTACTGTTGACTTTATAGAAATCTGAGCTCTCCAAGACACAAGGGGAATTCATCTAATCCTCTCATGCAAACAAAATAAAAAGTACATGTATAAAGACATGAAATGGCGTGAACATACTTTATATACAAAGATATGAAAAATTATGCTCTATATGTGTAATAAGAATTGTAATGCATTCCGCTGTCGTGTATTTAAAAAAATAAAATCAAGAAAGGAAAAGAGCTGTTTTTTTTTTTTTAACTAAAGAATTTACATCTCAGAAAAAAAAAAAAAAAAAAGACACAAGAGGATTAGCAGTTTATTCTGCATGGACCCCTGTTGGGTGCTCACAAGAAAGACCTGAAGGAGTTTCTCTTGGTGACCAAGACTTGCAGGAGGTAGGAGACCTTATCCCTTAGGATTTCCTCCCTGTGGAACAAAAGCAACTAGCAATGGAAGGAAAGCAGTAAACTGAGAGGCAGCACTAAAGGGAAGACCCATTGTGGCTGGCAGAAGGGGGCAAAAAACCCATCCTCTTTGCTTCAGGGAAATAATTATAAGCACAAATTCTATATTAGTGGCCTTTTGCTGGGAGGGAAAGGTCAGGAAACTAACTCCTGCGTAAGAACTTCTAGATAGAATAGCCAGAGTTTGACTGCCACGAGGAACAAGGGCAGGCTCACATGGGCCTTGCCAGGATAACAGAGCCCTCTTTCCACAACAGAGAATGCCCTCTTCCGTCCCCACCCCATGACAGCAGCTTACCACTGTGGAAGAGACAGGGCGTGGAAGGAAATCCTGTGTGATGCAGAAAGCTAAGTGCAGCACAGAAACACTGATAAAAGCCGTCCAGCATCCGCCCCTGCCCAAGCACAAGGTTACAGTAGAGGAATTTGAATTTACTGGTAACTATAGCAACAACAAAACTCAAATCCTCAGTTCCTGACTAGACCCATTCAATCTCATACACTGGTGACCTAATAAGAGAAGACCTGTGCCCATTTCTGGCATAAATACTATTTACATCAGTTGACTATTCTATACACACTGTACACCATCCAATAAAAATTACAATATATATATACATAAGAAAAAAATTGTTAAAAAATGAACAAAATCAAACTACCCAGATGTTGAGACTATCAGGGAATTTAAAATGACTGTATTAATAAGTTGAAGGTTCTAGTGGAAAAATGTTAGATAACGTGCATGAACTGATAGGGGATTTCAATAGAGAAATGGAAGATGTTGGAATCAAATGGAATTGCTAGAAATGAAAAGCGAGGTAACCAAGATGAAGAATGAACAGTTCAGGAAAACTTACATGACTGAGGGAAGAATAAATGAACTTGAGAAAGAGCATTGGAAATGACCTAACCCAAAAAACACAAAGAATTAACAGAAAAGAAAAAAACCTGAGAGCACCCAAAAGCTATAGCACAGTATCAAATGGTCCAAAATACATGTAATGGGAATTACAGAAGGAAAAGAGAAAAACTGAGGTCAAAGATATACACAATTACTCCTCAGTCCATTTTTCTTTCTTTTGTTTTTTTTTTTCCAAAGCATTTATCCTGAAGTTAGTGAGTATAACTTCTGGGAATTTAAAATGACTGTGGCCTTTTGCTGGGAGGGAAAGTTCAGGAAACTAACTCCTGCGTAAGACCTTCTAGAGAGAATAGCCAGAGTCCGACTGCCACGAGGAACAAGGGCAGGCTCACAAAGAAAGGGAGGGAAAGGTCAGGAAACTAACTCCTGTATAATTTCTATTCTGTTTTAATATTTTTTAAATATACCTAAATTCACAGATATTATGAATAAGTGTTTAGCTTTAGATTTGAATATCTGAAATAATGTATTGGTATTGTTTTTGTCTTTAAATGTATATACATGGCAGCCTATTACCTTTTTTTGCTTTTACTTTATAAATTAAAAGTTAAAATTCATTGATTTTTTTTTAAACTGGTGCATTGTTTCCCATTACATAGTTTAATAATTTCCAAAATGATGGAAAAAATTGGTTTACCATTATAAACAGTGCTGCAATGAACATTTATAGGTGGTATCTTGTGAATCTGTGAGTTTCACACTCTGTTCCTCAGTGCATAATTCTGAGTTGAGGAAAACAGTTTTAAACGTTACTAAGTATTGCCAAATTGTTCATTAAAGTGGTTGAACTGATTTATACCTCACAAGTGGTAAATAATAATTTCTTGACATTTTCATGAACATTTTGTATTATCAGACTCTTGCCAAGTTATGGATATAAAATTAAATTTTGTCATTGTCTTAATTTGCATTTCCCTAAGCATCTTTTCATATGTTAATTGGTTGCTTTTGTTTGTTTCTGTTTTAAATTGGTTATTTCTGTTTGTATAAATTCCCGGATCATAGTCTTTCTCCATGTGTAGCAGGGTTGTTTAGTCATTTTCTTATTATTCTGTAAGATTTCTTTTCTTAGTTGTTCATCTTTGTGGATCATGTGCTTATCCGTAGCTGGTTATTTTTGTTATGGGCTTTTTTTTTTTTTAAAGGCAGAGATTATAATTTTAATTTGCTAAAATTTAATAATTGTTCCCCTTATGGTTTGTATTTTTTTGTGCCTTATGCAGTACTTTCCTACTATCCCATTATAAAATTACATTCTCTTATATGTTCTTTTTTTCTTTTTTCCTCTAGTAATGAGGACTGAACTAAGGAGTACTTTACCACTGAGCTTTATTCACATGCCTGGCCCTCTTTATTTTTTTATTTTGAGTTTGGGTCTTGCTAATTGTCCAGGCTGGCCTCAAACTTGCCATCCTCCTTGCCTCCGCCTCCAGAGTTACTGGGATTACAGGGGTGCACCACCCTGCTTGGCAATTGTCTTATATTTTCTTCTAAAAGTGCTCGAAATATTGATTTTTACACTTGCCCATTTTGGGATATGTGAAGTAGGGCCTAATTTGACATTTTTTTTTTTCCATGAAGCCAATGTCCCAGTACCATTTAGATGGTGTTTTCTTTCCCCACTTAGAGTTCCAGTGGCCATTTATATGAGGCTAGATCTGTTTCCAGGATTCTTCTGTTCTGGCCTGTTTGGTATCTCTTCAGTTTGTTTTTTTTTTTTCCAATGAACATTATTTCATGGGAATATGTGAGGAAATGGAATGGCTGCTTGTCTGGCTACTGAGACTGCAGTTGTAAGAACTAGGAGTTGGGGGAGTGTGGATTCCCAAGGAGCATCCCGGGTCCAGACTCCAGGTTCAGGGGCTACTCCCAAAGACTCTTCAGAGTCATCCTTCTCACTGGTATAATGGCTGAGTTACGTGGCTAGAGATGTGTGATCATGTGACTTTGGGGAAAAGAAAAAAGAAACCTGAGCCTGTCCAGTCCCATATTACTGTTTCTGAAGTTTATCTGAATCACTGAAGTTTTCACTAGAGAACAGACTATTAAAAATAAAACTTTATGATGGAGGAAACAACATACTCATGTACCAGAGCATGGGAATGGCACTGCCTTTGCATATCAAAGTGTCTCATATGAATAATAAATGTGATGAGCATCATCTTGATGAGGAAATGAAGTTCCTAGAAGTGAAGCAACTTTTGTTTTCAAACTTTTTTTTTTTATTAGTTACAAATAGATAATGGCGACCAGCTTCCCCATCCGTTACCCTAGGAAATACATCCAAATGCAAAAATACCCCCAAAATGGTTTTCTCATTAAGTGTGATGTGAATTTGAGGTCTCATAAAACACCTGGGAAACGGCGATTAATAGTTAATTGGCTTTAAGACACACAATGGGGTAACTGCATACTTGAAGACAAAGTTAAACACTAGGGATGAAGACATTTAAAAAAAAAAATCAGATACTGTCGGTGGTGTCACAGGGGTCAGAGCTCAATCCTGTGTTAGTCAGCTTTTTCATGGCTTTGACTAAAAGACCCAACCAGCCCAACTTTAGAGGAGGAAAAGTTGATTCAGGGGCTCACGGTTTCAGAGGTCTTAGTCCATAGAAGGCTGGCTCCATTCTTCAGGGCTCCGGGTGAAGCAGGAGCAAGACCGCAGAAGAGTAGGGCAGAGGGAAGCAGCTCACATGGTGATCAGGAAGCAGAGAGAGAAACTCCACTGGCCAGATATATACCCCCAAGCCACGCCCCAATTCTCACCTCCAGCCACACCCTGGTACTTCAGTTACCACTCGGTTAGTCCCTACCAGGGGACTAATTCACTGATTGGGTTACGACTTTTACAACTGGACCATTTCACCTCTGAACCTTCTTGCAGTGTCTCACACATTGGCTTTTGGGGGACACCACATCCAAACCATAACAAAACCTGTGACTGGATTGTTCTTCTCATGCTGCTTCTTTTTACAATCTATATTATAAGGCTCTGGCATAATGCCGGAATGAGCTGATGTTTACCTCCTCCCTACTAAAATGTACCGAATGCTGGATAAACATATATATGTAATGAATTATTTCTTATGAAGTACAAGAATATTAATCAGCCATGAAGGAATAAGATAATGAATTTAACTGCATTAAGATCTCTGTCAAAGGACACCATTCAGGATTGGAAATAGGCAAAAATAGCCTATATCTAATTGACTAATGAGTTGCATCTAGAACTTCTATAAATCAATTAAAAATTGACAAAAGATTTGAACAGGCAATAAGAAGCCAGACATTTCTCTTTCTCTCTCTCTCTCTCTCTCTCTCTCTCTCTCTCTCTCTCTCTCTCTCTCTCTCTCCTCCAATTAATTATGGGTGAATCTAGAATGGTATACAGATGTTGAACATAATATTTGTTTTTGTTTTCTGTTGCTGTAACAAAATACTGGAGGCTAGATAATTTATCAAGAAAAGAGGTTTATGATTCTAGAGGCTAGAAAATCTGAGAGCATGGTGCTGATATCAGGTAAGGATCTTTCTGCTGCATCATAACATGGGAGAGGGCATCACACGGCAAGAAAGAACAGAAGTGCTCATTCAGATCTCTTTTCTTTTTCTTAGAGAGCCACTAATGCCATGATGGGGGCACCACCATCATGATCTCATCTACTCCTAATGACCCCTCAAAGCCCATACTTCTAAATGCCATCATCTTACAAATGTGGGGTTTAAAATTTCAACACTTGAAATTTTAGGGGACACCTTCTCAATACATTTCCTATAGCATGACTTTTTCA